TGCTCTGTTTACAACTGGTTCGCAGCGACCGACGACAAAACGCTCTTGCGCATGCGCAGCTGTCTAGGCAAGTTCTCGTTGTGAAGGACGGGTACCGAAACGAGGCACCGTTTGAAATTATGTGAATCGGTGCTCGGTCGGTACTATGGAATTCGGTCGGTACCTTAAAAAGTACCGAATTCGGTACCCATCCCTAGCCATGTGTCCCTGCGTGTCCCTGATCGTCGTCTCCTGACGCGCTGGGGCATCCCGAATCATCACATATTGACGCTTGGTCATACTCATCATATTTTGATGCTTTAGGTGTGAGAATACCGTAAATTCTCTAATACAGGCCCGGGCCTGTATTTGACTCAAGCCCATCAAGCTCCAGGCCTTTATTGGAAGGAGGGCCAGTATTAGAGGCAGGCCTCTATTTCTATTTGAGCAAAATGAACTAATGGTTCGCTGGAGTTTTTGACAATTAAAATTGCGCCCACATTTTCAAAGTTAAACACATTTCTTTTAACAATGGTAGTTTCTGCTTCAGCCATCTCCCCCCTCCCCCTGCGCAGCGGCCGCAAACTCACTGATGAGCCTGCAGAGTTCCTGCTGCTCTAAACATTAAAATAATTATTTCATTTTCTGTTCCTCACTTCTGATGACCTTCAATGGTGTCTGTTTGTTGCAACCAGCAGGTACAAAAACTAACTTGTTTTTATTTGACTATTTTTCTGTCCTGCCTGTTTATTATCTTCCTGCATCTCCTCTCAATCCTAAAGAAAAACTGCTACCTGGGTTCATATATATTCACCTCATGAGTTACCTTTGAACTGCAGTTCTAAAAGATCTACCAACCGCAAAAACAGCGGAGCGCTCGCTGTTTGGCGGCCGTATCAGTGATCAGTGCGTCGGAGGACAAGGTGATGCGCGCAGCGCCCCGCTCCACAGCATGCAGCGAAACACATCAGGCGCAAATAAAAGACAGAAAACATTAAAGCAAATGAACTGACATGAACGATCGCGTGTTAAATTAGTTTTTGAGGTGGCGACACCTGATTGTTACTGTGGCCGTGCTCAGGAGGCAGATCTACCGACCGCGAAAACAGCGGAGCGCTCCCTGCTTGCCGGCCGCATCAGTGATCTGTGCGTCGGAGGACAAGTTGATGCGCCCCGCTCCACAGCAGCGATACAGATCAGGCTCAAATAAAAGACAAAACATTAAAGGAAATGAACCGACATGAACGATCGCGTGTCAGTACCTAAGGTCTGGCACAGCGCGTTGCCCCCCCACCCCCCCACCCCCCGAGCGCAGGAGCTTGTCACCTGCTGACAGCAGGCTGCTGTCTTTTCTGAGGGCTGCATCTTGCCAGTCATTATCACGTGACAGCGACTAGTCGACGACAGGCATAAAAAGTCACTATAGTGGAGTTGACTAGTTCATACAACCCCTACTGCTGCTCCCCAGAGTGTTCTGCAACATAATCAGCACGTTCTCTTTGAACTTGATAGTGTAATGACCTGGCTGGGGTTGTAAGCCAGGTGCATTCTGGGTATTGTGTTATATGTGTTTCCTATAGTTCTGCTAGTTCCTATGTGCTGATTTGTGTGTTGTGTGAGTGTTATGTAAGCCACAGGGAAGGTGATGTGTGTTCTGTGGAGTGGGTTGAATTAGCATGGTTAACTGACACCATGACTCTGTGTGGTAGGAGCGTGATAGAGGATTGTGTCTGTAGCGTTACAAAGCGTTGAAGAAAAAGCCTAATGAAGGTTTGCATGAACCTCTACTGCCTCCTGCTGGTTGATTTGGGGACTATAACCCTGCCGCTGGGACGCTCATACTTGCTTGTTACCACATTCCACCCAGCCACAATAAGAGACCGGCCATTATTTACCTCCGCTGACTCCGACACCGGCCAAAATTGGAGACCCGGCCTTTAATTGAATACCGGCCAAAATTGGAGACCCGGCCTTTAATTGAATACCGACCTGTATTAGAGGATTTACGGTATGTTGTTTAGTAAGGTATAATGAATGTGTCTAAACTGCTTTTATTACCTATCTTAGTTTCTGGACAACTAAAAATGTATAACTTGGAAATGAACTCCTCCTCAGTTTGATGATGTCACACATTCTGCTTTCATTATCGAAATATTTGCTAAATAGATTTTCATACACCCCCCTCCTCCATACATACAATTTTTTTTCTTTTTACTATAATTTGAAATCATACATGTGAGCCTTCGTATGTTCTAGAGAATGCACTGTGCACCATCAAGTTATTCCAGGCGTGTTCACTAAAAGATGACATATGATCAGATTCAACCAATAATCCCCATGACTGGCTAGTGATGGGCCAATCTAAAACTCAAAATTTGACCATTATTTTCTCGTGAATGCATCAATATCAAGCTGTAAATGTTTTGTTTCTTCGGGGTCTACATACATGCTATAGCATATCAGTATCATAGCTTCTATGTAAAAGTTTTTAAGTGTTATTTTAGAAATGGCATTCGTAGTTCTTTAAGATAAAATAGAATCAATCAAAGTTGGCATCAGAAGATCGTGTATCTCACATTTAGTAAAGCAGTAAGTAAGCGCCTCGTGATTTTTATCTTGAGAGGCGCTATAGAAATGATATTTTCTTCTTCTTCTTCTAAGTACATTTAATTTATAATGCACTCATCACAGAAAGAGAATCACAAAGTGCTTCACGAAGATCCACAAAACAAAACAAGTCATAAAATTATAATAGTCTAAAAAACAAAACAGCAAATATCATAAAATGTATTAAAATATGAAAAAACTGAGTCATGAAATTATAAAATCATCATAAATATCATAAAACAAGTGAAATTTGATTATAAAGTTGAGTTTAAAAAGAAGAAAAGCACAAAAGATTTAGGTAAAAGAAGCTTTAAACAAAAAGGTCTTCCATGCTACCATCATAACTAGGACACTTACACACAATAGATCTTCATTAAAAGTGCATTTCAATGTCTCAAACTTCCAAAATAAATGAAAAAAATAAAATTAAAATAAAAATGCTTCTCAAAACTGTGTGTTTGATATTTTCTTGCCTGTTGGGGACCCTGCAAGGCAAGACTGTAAGACATCTGAGCCAAAGCTAGTCTAGACAGCTGCCTCACAATTCTGTGCATTGATCTGTGTAAGCTTCAATAACCCTTTCTCCCAAATTTATATTCAAACCCACAAAGGCGTCACGATGCGGCTATTGAAAAGCGCTACAAGCCAACACGTTAACACAATAATGACCCATGATGCCTTGAGCGCCCATGCTTAGACACAAACAGAAATCCATGATGCCCCATCAATTCTTCACCCAACACGAGACACACATCCTGTCTGAATGTGTGCTTAAGGTCTAATCATGGCCTGCGGCGGTATACCTATGTGTGTGTGCGCGCGTGCCTGTGTGTGTTCATTAAAGAGGACATTTTCAGTAAATGTCACTTATATATCAGCCCTATCTCTAAGCTAGAGCCTGCCAATAGCGGGGCCACACAGATATCGTTTTTTTTTTTTTTCATTTTGGCTTGTAGCAATTTTTTTCTGTATTTTTATTTTAATGTCAATAAATGAAAAATTAAATATCAAAATAAATAAATAAATAAATAAACGGCTGTGGATTTCTTACCTCTACATTCCATCACTCACAGTATTTGTATGCATATGCGTGTGTGTGTGTGTGTGTGTGTGTGTGTGTGTGTGTGTGTGTGTGTGTGTGTGTGTGCGTGCATGTGCGTGTTTTTGTGTGCGTGTGTGTGTGAGACGTGGTGAAGGGCAGTATTAAGTCAAGCCCAGGCTCACAGTGTCATTGAGCTCATTCAGATTCTTTGCTGCATATGGGTAACCAAGACGCTCCTCCAACTAATGAAAGAGCTGAGGGAGGGAGGATGTGGTTTCTATGGTTACCGTGACAAGGAGAGCAAGGAGAAGGGAAGTGTGTCTCGCTTTTTAAAGGGATGCTGCTGGCCCGCGTTTGTTTATTGTTGAGGCCTTGTACACATGGAAACACACGTGCGTGTGTGTGTAAGAGTGTGTGCTTTTAAGGAACTAATTTGAGAGATCTTGACAGGATGAAAGGTACTGAAATGAAACAGCAAGCAGTCTCACTTTCTTGGCCTTGAAACCATTTTTAATACATGTTTATTTATTCAGCCCGGAAAGATTCATATTATGTATATTGTACTGGGTACAACGGATATTTTCAGAGGTGACTGTCGAGCAGGAGGTAGCTGCTAATGTGCAGCGTAGCATCTAAAATCAAATAAAATACAATCTAGAATATCATTACCGAGCAGGAAGGTGATGGAAAAACGTGTGGACACCTCAGCTAACCGATCTATCAAGGGAGACGGCTAATTCTCACAGGGATTGCTGCTCTCAATAACAAAGATACTCCACAACAACTAAAGTCCCTGGGAACATCCAGTCCTGCGCCATCAGTATCACAGCACCTTTACAGAATCATAACTTTATCGTCAATTTTAGATGGCAGCTACTTGCCACAGAAACATACATTTCTGTAGCCAAAGTGTTCTTAGATGCAGACACATCCCATTTCATTTAGGTAGGTGCTCCAAACTCCAAACCTCTTAAATATTATTTATAGCTGTCTTAGTGTAATCTCTGCATCTGTGTTTGTGGATGTCGCCAGGCAATTATCCTGGATCTGAACTGATGTCTGAAACAGCCTACAGCAAAGTTTTAATCGCCCGTTTGATTCACTCGTGACAGCGGACATACCCTTGTGAAAGATCTTTGATGCTTTCTTCCAATGTTTAGCATAGTGTGCATAATTAAGTTTATATGACAGCAGAACAAATGCAGTTTAAGCTGAACAAAAATTGATCTTGTAAATTTGGGACTCTTACTGCACATAAATTAAAAATAGGCTCTCTAATAAGTCTTGTTTTTCATTATCTCCTTGGAAAGAATTAACATTTGTCAAAACACAAAATAACATTTCCCTACTGTGTTCTTGTGTGTGTGTCTAGTGTATGGCCGTGCTCCTATCCCCATGGCGGTGGTACGCAGGGAGCTGTCCTGTGAGTCCTACCCCATTGAGCTACGCTGCCCCGGCACCGATGTCATCATGATTGAAAGTGCCAACTATGGCCGAACAGATGACAAGATCTGTGACTCAGACCCAGCCCAAATGGAAAACACACGATGCTACCTACCTGATGCTTACAAGATCATGTCCCTCAGGTCAGTGTTTGTGTGTTTGACGCTGGTACTGAACGGAATTCAAAACCTCAGGAAATTAATTTACTAACAGTTACCTTGTTTGGTATGTTTTAAGCAAATTGTGTCACTACCGAATCTGTTTCATTTCATTCACATAAAAGCAAATATGGGGATGGGGTACCTCTTGCTGATGGCTCTCGGATGGATCTTGGTTTGCAGATACAGAGTTCTGACCATAGTCACTGGTGAACAGCTAGTTCTGGTGGGATAAATATCATAGACATGAAAAATCTCAAATTTGGTACATTTGTGACTGGCTGCATAACCAAACCCTATCCCTTTGAACAGGAATGCTTAGACAACGCACTGTTGATGTGGTATGGGCTTAAATAAGTATTTCTTTTTCAAAGCTCCTCTAAAAATGTGACTTTTGCTTTCAGTTTACATATTTTCGATTTCAAATTTTTCTTTTAACTACACAAACATTATGGCCCTTATTTAAGCCCATAATGTGGTTATTGTAAACAATCACAAACTAAAGTGTAACCAAACTGAACCAGGCTAAATGTCAGGTAGCTGGTTCAGCTGATAAGTCATGTTGCTCTGCTTCAAAAGGTTGTAGGTAAATAATTCTACAATGTAAATTGAATTCCAACGCAAACGTTTATGAAATGGCATTTTATATGAACCACTAAGGCATTTTGCATCGAACAGTAATCAACTTGCTGCTAACTCTGACTAGTGGTGCAAAGGATACAAAACTCATGGTTCAGATTAGGGGCTGCATGACTTAATTTTTTTTTTAAGTCGACCGTCAAGTAATGGAAATCGAGTCGATTCCGCCTAGTCATTGATGACATCACACACCTGAAGCAGCTAAAAGTGACGATTGGGTGGCCAAGTGTTTGTGTCCGACCCACGGGTGGGGGGATGGGATGTTGGGGTTGGGGGTGAAATTGGGGGCTGGGGGGGGGGGGGGGGGGGGGAGATTGGTTCGCTGGAGTTTTCGACAATTAAATTGTGCCCACATTTTCTGAGTTAACACACATTTCTTTTAACGACGGTGATTTCTGCATCTTTACTGTTCCCCGGCTGCTTCAGCCCTCCCCCCCTCCCTCTGTGCAGCGGCCGCAAACTCACTGATGCGCCTGCAGCCTCTCAGAGTTCCTGCTGCTCTAAACATTAAAATAATTATTTCATTTTCTGTTCCTCACTTCTGATTACCTTCAGTGGTGTCTGTTTGTTGCAACCACCAGGTACAAAAACAAACTTGTTTTTATTTGACAATTTTTCTGTCCTGCCTGTTTATTATCTTCATGCAACTCCTCTCAATCCTAAAGAAAAACTGCTACCTGGGTTCATATATATTCACCTCATGAGTTACCTTTGAACTGCAGTTCTAAAAGATCTACAGACCGCAAAAATAGCGGAGTGCGCGCCGGCCGCACCGGTGAGGTGCGTCACTGGAAGACAAAACAGGTGATGCGCTCCGCTCCAAGCATCAGGCACAAATAACAGACAGAAAACATAAAAGGAAATGAGCCGACATAAACGATCGCGTGTTAAATTTGTTTTCGAGATGGCGACACCTAATTTTATAATGTTTCTGTGGCCGTGCTCAGGATGCAGATGTCTGGAGCGCGTCAACGATCAGGATGGGGGTGAGGGGAAGGTTATATTGCAAGAGGGTAGAGGCCACATTTCGGTCAAATGTCCGTTTACAGCGGGTGCCAGAGCGTCGACTCCCAACTCGCAGGGGCTCGTCATCTGCTGTCTTTTCTGAGGACTGCTTATTGTCGGTCATTATCACGTGACAGCGACTAGTCAATGAAAGGCATAAAAAGTCACTACAGAGCAGTGAAGTCACCTAGTCGACTAGTTGATACAACCCCTGGTTCAGATCGGATCGTGGTTTTCAGTCATGGATTGAATAATTTTTTGGATCCGCAGAAAGAAACGGAAAATAAGACAAAAACTTTACTCTGTTTTTGTTCTGTAAAACAGTGCAACCTTTTTCTGCTCAATTTGCTGATTAAATGTTAAAATGGCTTGCCACAGTATGCTCTCTCCTTCCATCTTCACTCATTAAATGTCACCTTTCTGAAATGCTGTTTAATTTTGTTTCCTCTTGTTTGACAGAGTTTGCCCCCACTGATATTTCAGGTCCCGTCAAGTTAATATAATAATCGTCCCGGGCATTTGGCCCATGATGATCCATTTGACCCCTCATTCTGACTAGCCTTTAGCCTGTCAATCTAGTCCAGACAAATCTGTTTCTTCAAATTGATGCTGATTATAAAGCTTTCTGCAACAGGCGGCATATGAACTGTTTTCTCAGGCGATCTGAACCTTTGCTTCAAGATCTGATCATTATGGGTGTAGTTGTGTATTGTTTGTTCCGGACAGCCGGAACACAGTCCCAGCTGGTTCAATGGAGAGAGAGACAGAAGGGATGGAAAACGTAGGAAAATGCGGGGCTGCCAATGCTGCGCACCTTGCAGTTTTTCCATTCACAGTTCCTCTAGCACAATACCATAAAGCTGCAGGATGGAAGTGAGTCAGGTAACACTCCCCCACCACTACACACACACACACACACACACACACACACACACACACACACACACACACACACACACACACACACACACACACACACACACACACACACACACACACACACACCTTACTAGTGTGAATGCCCCCACTTCTGACGGAGTTGTTGAGAGCACGAAGACTGAAGGTCATGTAGGGCTTCACAGACAGTTATCAGTTTATCATTGAACAAACTGCACACATTTGAGATTTGTCAGTTCCACGATACGTTTGGTATTGAGTTGACATGATTTTCATAAAACAAACACCTGGATGGTGGTTTGGAACCCATAGTTAATTTTCTTTCACAAATTCTAGTAAGGAGAACAATTATTTATATGTTAAATGTGAAAGAAGACAAAATAAGTGAAGTTCCCCACTATGGGATCAATAAAGTCTATTCTATTCTATTCTATTCTAGTCTATGGTTGTATAAACACACAACCATGCTGGTCTTCTGTACTTGACACAAAGTCACGTTATCGGCCATGTTACCATTACCTGCCATTTTTTATAGCTGAAAGTTTTATTCTAGTTTTTTTAATATATTATATTTTATTCTATTTTTAATCTTATTATTCATGTTATATGTAGCACATTAGTACCGAAGCAAGTTCCTAGTTTGTGAATTGTTTGTTCACTGACAATGGCAACAAACCTATTCTGATTCTGATTCTATATTTCTATTTAGCCTTGCAGTTAATGAAATTCCTTAAATTGTACTCATCAAGGCTAAAGAAACCCACCAGAAAGGTAAAAATGACCATTCAACAGCCCAGCTGATTGTTTATGCTACAAGATGTTTTTGGTGACACAGGTGCTTAGAAAAGGTGTGTTTGAATATGCAAATGAGAAGCTATCTAAGTAAATGCAGACTGATTTGCATAAACTGATAGAAACAAACACTCCAAATACACCTTCAGATATATATTTCGTTACAATCCTGAACAACGACATGTTGTGGAAGCAAAATGATCCAAATCTCAAAGTTTACCAGAGCATAAAAAGGTGCATGTTTTTGCTAACCTTAGACACTTTTTTAGGATAATGGTTTCATGTTGGAGCACATCGTCTGATAATAATCCTCTCCGACTCTGCCCGCACTCACAGTCTTCTTTCCACACGAGAGATTGTGATTTTATTAATGCATGAGAATACTCTTTTAGCTCCTGCATGAATATTTCAAATATGTTTTTTTCTCTTTATGAAAATGTTGTAAACATTTCTAGTAATGTTTTGTTCCGTGCTGGTTTTAGTTCTAAGGTTATAGGCTGCAGAATAGGATGTTTTGGTATCAAAAGCAGGTGCGCTGGTCAGAGGACCATGTCAATTGGACAAAGATAGCAACTGTAAAGAGCACACACATTTCTGGATTTAAATAATTCATTGATGTCACCATTAATATTGTTTTCCTTCTGAATGTGTCTAACTTTGAGCGGCCCCTGCTGCTATTCCATTTCCCTCCTCGTCTTTCTTCTGCCCCTGCTTCTGCCGTCTCTCTGTCGTCTCCTTTCAGCTCTGTTTTCCCATCAAACCACCTGTCTCGGACATGTGGCGGTGTTGTGTTTGTGATTACTCTGGCCTGGCTTGGAGCTTGTCAACGTGCTGCCTGTTGCAGCTTGTGTGGCCACTCTCCTGCAGGCCCATCCATCCATAATTTATACACACGCACGCATGCATGCACTCACACACGCACACACACACACAAACAGCATGCTCCACACACTGCATACACTGCCCAGGGGCTACACCAGACTTTAAGCTCCAATTAGCAGAGCCAGAGGCCAAACGTAATCTTGAGGGACTCCTGGTGGAGGTGACTTAGACTAGAAACAACTGTTTATCACCTATGTTACAGGTGTGTGTGTGTGTGTGTGTGTGTGTGTGTGTGTGTGTGTGTGTGTGTGTGTGTGTGTGTGCGTGCGCACATTACAGACATAAAGATTGGTCTAAAGTACACTTTATGTATTTGGACATAAAAAGATCTGGGGTCTCATTTATCAAACATTGCGTAGAATCCTGAATAAAACCGTACTTAAGTTCAGCAAAAAAAAGTATTTACGTCAAGTAGGTTTGTGATCTATCAAACATGGAGTACACACAGCTGCACGCAATCTCCGCTTCATAAATCGGAGACTAACGAGAATGTTTCTCAGCTGCATTTTAGTCACATCCCGCCCTCACCACGCCCACTTACTGCCATAAATTGTCAATGCAAAGTGCCTTGTGGATCCCATGCATATACATAAGCCGACTGGTGCAGCGCTCCACCAATGACAATGGCGACCGTAGATCAAGGCAGATCAAGAAAGCGCTATTTCACAAAAGCAGAAGTTGAGGTACCTGTGGGTGAGGTGGAGAAATGAAAGGAAGTGCTTTTGCCAAACAAATAAGAGAAAATCCACGGAGTGGCACAGCGTTGCTGA